CCAAAATGGCAATCTTCAAACCCCCATAACTCTACGAAAAACAATCACTGGTTAAATATCGTATCAAAATAAAACTCAAGAAACAGAATACTTTGAAGAAAAAAAATCCGTCATAATTGGCTATTGAAAAAAAAACGAAATTTGTCTGGAGAAAACACCTATACCGAGCACAAATATTCCGTTACTTTCGTTACCAAATTCGGAGCAAAACTTCATCTATCCGCGTCTCTACTAATCGACTACTTTGCTTCCTGAAACTGTTCTGCTTGTTTTTCAAAATTAAATTTTATCTCGAATAGTGATCAAAACAATAATTACTTGTACAAAACACATGATTGCTGAAAATTTAAAAGGAGCAGAAAAATCAAAAGTTTTTTCTTAAAATCTTTTTTTTAAATTCTATACCCCGTGGTTGCACATTGCTAGCAAGCAACCAATTCCGAAAAAAAATCATTGTTTTTTGTTGGCGCCAGTTTCTTTATGATTATCAAGCAAGTAACCTTTGGAAAAAAAATGCCACCCGTGATTGTTGCCAATTGATCTTCACGGTCAACAGAAATCTTCCCATTAATTTGACTGTGAAATGAGGTCATCACTTCATAACACGTCTCAATGTTTTCTATGCAAAAAAAAATCCCAAAGTGCTATGCTGTACTACTATTATGTTTTGAGTACTTCTGCATCTGGTAATTAATAACAAATTGAACTTAAAATTCAATTTTAAAAAAAAGTTAGCAAACGAAAGGCAAAGAACGGTAAGTCCAAAAAAATTTCATTCACTTCTAAATGTTATCAAATTCAATTGCTTCTCTCACTATTTCTCATAATTCGTTGCGTTTATGCAAATTAAATTACCTCAAGTCTAGCTTCTAGTTATCGAATTCATTTTTTTTTTCATTTTCAGACCAAGAAATTGCAAAGTTTAATCGTCTAGAAAAGCTCTGTTTACGTCCCTCTTTCTATCTCAAAAATAGAACAAGATATCTAAAAAAAGAAAAAAAATAAATTTTATGATTTTTCTAGGCCTAATTGCTGAGCTTGAAATAAACTGTGCTAATTGCAGGATAGCACGATACTTTTTTTCTTTTAATTTTTTTTTTAGATTTAATAGATTTGAGAAAAAATTGCAAGTTTTTTCTTTATTACAGGCGGCAATACAATTCAGACATATTCTATTTATATTAATATGAAAATCTAAAGATATATCATCTATTTATCACCCCAGTGCGAGTTTTAATATCACCTCAGATCTGGTCCCAGCTCATTTTTGCGTATTGGCATCAGAGTCATATAAGCACAAAAAAAGTTGGGTCGCCTTCTAAAAGCTGATTTTGCTCATTTTTTGTCTAACCCGATAAAGAGCTGTAGAAAAAGCTGAAAAAGAGTATCTCAATTGAGCTTCAAACTAATTTGAAAAACTGTTTTTGTCCTGAGAAGCTCGAAAAAACCAATTAAATCAATTTCATTCTGTTTTGTAATCAAAATGGTGGTGTCTGTGATAGCATATCCTACTCGAGTTCCAAAAGCTTAAATAATATTTCTTTCAACCGGAAACTGATTTATGCTAGCCCCATAATTTTATCAAAAACTCGTTTCTATGTTTTTTTCTTCAAGCGAAGTTTGCACTGAAGACTCAAATAAAAACAATTTTTGTTTTGACTGTCGTAACGAAAGTAACAGAATATTTGTGATCGGGGGGCTTTTTTCTTCAGACGACTTTCGACTTTTAGCTAGCCGTTTTTGGCAATTTGTTGTATCATTCAAAAAGTATTGTTGCCCTAAAATTCAACTTGAAAAAATATTTCACCTGTGATTGTTTTTCGTGAAATTATGGAGGTTTAAAAGTTGCAATTTTCGCCAATTTGGAACAATTAACGCATGATATTTTTTGCGCTTTTAACGCATAAGCGGAGATTTCATCCGTCTTAGAAATCGTTCCAAATTGGTTGAAAGGTTGCGTGGCAGTATTTAGACAACCGCGTATTCCTACTAGTCAGTAAGCAATCAAATAATACATAAACCAAACAGAATCGAGACAACGAGGAAATAAGTTAAAAAAAAACTTTTTGTTTCGAAAGTTTGCTTTTTCATCTCCATTCTGATTGGTTAATACAGTATTTGTCTGCTCATTGAAGAGTATGAATACGCGGTTATCTAAATAGAGAACGCACTCCTGGTTGAAGGAAGCTTATTTGCACTAAATGATTTGTTAGTAGGAGGGAAGTTTATCACCTCGTACTTTATATGGTGTGTTGGGGTGATTTTCACAAAAAATCTCAAATTCTTCTCAAACATTCTTTTTTATGACATTTAATTTTTTCATGCTATTACTGCTCCATAGAACTTAAAAGGCAGTCGGACCATTCAGGACTGCGCCCTGATACGAGCAGTTTTGTTTTCTTAAAAACCCATAGGAGAACAAGAACGAACCTTTTTCGCAATTCAAATCAGCAAAGTAAAGAACAATGTGTTTATCGGCTAAAAATTGGTCCTTGATTTTAAAAACTGACTTAACGGCTTAAGCAAGAGCGTGGCTGAAAAATAGAAATTTATTGGCATTTTCAAAATCACGGTTAAAGGTGTTACCGGCTTCATTTTTAACGAAAAAAGGTGTTAACGGCTTCAATTTTGTGATCATTTTTTTCCGAATTATCATTTCTAGAAACAGTTGAATAGACACAGTATATGGCTACACAACAAAGTCTTTCGCCATATTAAAACATTTTGTGTATAGCAAAAACTCTGACAGATTTCGTCCCATGACAGATCTCGTCCCATTTTAATTTCAGCAGATTTCGTCCCATTTCAAAGCACACACAGATTTCGTCGCACAAATCTGGATATGAGACGATATGATGTTGGATATGGGACAAAATCTTTTAATTAAACAAATTGGAAGAAATATGTGCCAACCATAGCAAATAAGTAGGTTTGCTTAAATAACTATGTAGACCAGGAAGAAGATTTCCATAGTTTTTTTTGAATTCTAATCCTATAGAATAGTCTGATTTAAACATCAATTAGGAAATCGAAAGCAAAAAAGAGTTTTATTGTTTTGCTATAAAAACCAACAATAAAAATCCAAATTATTCCTCCCTTTCTTCTAAAGTCTGAACAATTACATCACTTTTTTACTTTACACAGCGTGTAGGGGGGATTAATCTTAAAATAGTATTTCTTATTTTTTTAAAAACTTTTTCTGATTATTAGTTATTCGGGGGACTTCTAATACGGGCAGTTGGAACATTCAGGTCTTTGACCTGATACGCGCAGTCTTGTTACTGTTTACCATTAACCCTAGCTTCCTTCTCATTTGCAACGAGGAGCTCTTCAATTGTACAAAACTAAAATCATTCTCATCGATCGCCCTTAATTTTTTTTCTTGCCAATATTTCGCAGGCTGAAAAATTCTCGCATACTTATTGTTCAGACATTTGTAAGGAAAACAACGGAATATTTGTGCTCGGGGTGAGTTTTTTTCTTCAGACAAATTTCGGCTTCTTAAATAGCTATTTTTGACGGAAGTTTTATTTATATCATTCAAAAGGTATTGTTGTCTGAGATTCAATTTGAAAAAATGTTTCACCTGTTATCATATTTTGTTAATCAATGGGGTTTAAAAATTGCCAATTTGGCCAATTTGGGTTAATTAACGCGCGATATTTCGCGCTATTGACGCGCATGCGGGGAGACCGATCGTTTAGCAGACAAATTTTTTAGCATAGAAAAAAGAAAAATGAGTCTTTTAGCAGACAAACGTAAAAAAGTGATGGATGATTGGTTGACAGACTCAAAAAGACGCACAGTCTGGGGCCAAGCTTCTCCAATTAAGTCAATTATCTCACGATTTGTCAAAAAAACTATCAACTTCAAAAACACAACAGTCTAAATTAGCGGCAAAACAAAGATTTATCACGCTTCATAATTGTTCTGTGTCTGCTTAAAAGCCTGTCTCCTAGAATCCCTAGCACACGTAAGCGGATACTTAATCTGTCTTAGAAATTCTTCCACATTGGTTGAATGGAGCTTATTGTTCCGACTTTCGAAGAAAACGGAATATTTATGCTCGCTGTTTTTTTTATTCAGTCAATTTTCGCCGATTGAAATAATAGTTTTCGACAAACGGTTTTATACCCCATTGAATATATCGACTTCCTGAGTTCAAATGTAAAAAGATATTTTACCTCCGATTATTTTTTTGTTAAGTTCTGGGGTCTAAAAATTGCCAAATTGGCAATGTTCTGGACTAAATTATGCGCCTTTTGAAGAATTTATTCATATTGCTGCAAATGTAACGCGAATTGTTTATGCGTGCCAAATTATCCCGCACAAAAATTGTTCCAAATTGAATTGAGGCTAGCTAATTGGTCGTATTAATTTCGTACGACTCAAAACTTTACACTTTGATTTTATCCAAAATTTACAGGTTTTCAGTATTTTCTTTCCCCCAAAAACTATTCGATATGAATAAAGGGACAGTCGGAACAATCAGGGCTTTGCACTGATATACGAGCAGTCTTGTTTGCCATAATTGATTTAACACTAGGAGCGAAATTGATCACTTTGTACACTTTATATGGCGTGTCGGGGGATGATTTTCACAAAAAAAATCTAAAAATAAAAAAAAATCATTTCATTTTATTACATTTAATTTTTCATGTTATTACTGCTCCATAGACCTTAAAAGGCAATCGGAACAATCAGGGCTTCGCCTTGAAACGAGCACTCTTGTTATTTTTGAAAGCTAAGCCGGCAAAAATCTACCTTTTAGTTCTGACAATAAAACCCTCTATTGAGCTAAAGGCCACCTGTTTAAAATCTGAGACAAAGCTCAACTGGCTTGAAAGCAGAACTTTAAGTTACATTGAATGTAATTGACTCGGAGTCATGTTCAAATAGGTGATTTTGAGTCTTAAAATACAATACGTCTAACTCTATATATAAAAGAAGTCATTTCCTGACTTTTTACTTTCTACTTGTAAAAGTGGGAAGCCTTATTGTGTTGTTCCAACCAATTTGAGTCACACTTTAAGTAAATATTTTCCGCCTTTTGTTAAACAGAAAGCTGTAGATAGTTGAGCCATTTTCTGTCAGTCTAACTCAACAGCGCCGTATGGTACATAATAGTTAGTACTTAACGCCAAGTAAACTATATTCGATAGAGAAACCACAAACATGCGCTAAGTTAGCTTAGACTTAAATTTTCTACAATTCTAAAGCATTTTACGCATAATTGCATTCGTTGATAAACGCAAAGTTACGGCGGCTTTGAGCTTATAAAGTAATCAAAATAATTGCAGCTATTTGACTAATTGAAGTTTGCTGATATAACAACACATTATCGCAGATACTCCTCAAGAAGGTAAGTTTGGTCAGATAATATTTCACGTAAGATTATATTTTCTCAACTTCGGATAATTTAAATCATAGCACTAGCCCGGTTGACATCCTCACGAAAAAAATGCCCATCATTCAAATCCATTAATGGATTATCTATAAAGAAAATGCTCATCATTCAATTTCCTTTTTTATTAAAGATGTATGCGACAAGCATTTTGCTGGTGGCGTGTCACGGAGCCGAATACTCGGATAGCCGAAAAATAAACTCGTTCCCGGATAGCCCAAAAATAAATCCATATATTTTCTCCCCCTTAAATCAATTTGGGGAGGAAACTGTACGGTTGATCCGATCTAGGATTTGCTCGAGGGGATGGGGTGACAAATGTTTTTAAAAAAGCAGGCCAAAAATGCCGTTTTTGGGACTTCTTGAAAAATTTTGACCAAAAACTGCGTTTTTCATTGCGTGCTCCCCGCAATTAATACAATGAGAGTAAAAGTATTAGCCAAACAAATCTCTTAAAATTGTTCGGAATTTTGGTAGCTAACAGGCTGCAAAATTTTTGAAGCATATTTTCGTACAATCAAAATGCGTTTCAATTTAGTGAAGAGCTTTCTAATTTAATTTAATTAAAACTGGAGTAGTTTAGTTTTTCGGCTATCCGGGAATGCTGCTCCGTGGGTACGCACCATTTTGCGATACAAACAAAACTTCCGAAACCGAAAGCTTTAAACTTGTTTTCGGCAACTTTGAATAAATTTATTGCCGGTTTTTTGGCGAATGAGCGCCCTTTCGGTTGTCAAAAAAATGATTTCTTGCAGGGGTGGATTGGGGGGGGGGGGGGGACGCCCCCTTCTTCAGGGATTCGACCCCCTGCTGACCCAAAGGGTCCCCCCTTTGGTACTTTTTAGGAAATCCATTTTTGACCGACCGACCCTAAAATTTTTCTGAAGGCGCCTTTGGCGCCAATGTATATTAACTTTGAGGGGGAGCGCGCGCCAAAAAAACGCAATATTTTCGTCAAAATTTTCCAAAAAGTGCCCAAAAATGGCTTTTTTGACCTGTTTTTTCAAAAATTTGCCTGCGACGCAAAAAATTTGGCCAAAACAGCGTCTTTTTACTGCTTTAGAAGAGCTCGGAAAATCAATTTGGTCAACCTAAAATAAAGGTCAAAAAAAAGAAATTTTTTTTGAAAATCCGCCCCCCCCTCCTCAAGAAAATTCTAGATCCGCCTCTGATTTCTTGCATGGTAAAAACACGCGTACTATACAATTACCATTAATGAAAACTAATGATAAGCATTCTTTTCGGTACAATATTTTTTGTTCTGTTTTTTTTCGTTATAATTCAGTTTTATGGTCAAACAAACATTTGCCACATTTTTTTCAAATGTTTCTCTATAACTTAGTCCAAACGCGGTCTTTTACTCAGAAGAATCGAAAAGCAGAATGTCATTCATTTCTTTTCGAAATAAGAATTAATATTTTTCCATTTTATATAATATCATAAAAAAACCTGTCTAAAAACGGCACGATTTTCAACCACTGAATTTTTCGAAATGGAGACCGTATAGCCACCAGCGGATTAAGGGGGTTGGGTGGGGTTTATATCGCCCTCTCCACCACTCAGGGATTCGACCCCCTGCCGACCCAAAGGGTCCCCTTTGTACTATTTTGAGATATCCATTTTTGGCTAACTGACTCTAAAAATTTTCTAAAGGCGCCTTCGGTGCCAAAATATACTAATTTTGAGGGGTGAGAAACGCGATTTTTTTAATCAAAATTTTCCAATAAGCGCCTGAAAACCCCCTCAAAAAATCATAGATCCGCCCCTGCCCACCTGGTCATAGCCATATACAAAAAACTACATTTTTTAGGTATGTTGCTTCGTGAAATTGAATAGTTTCAATTACTTGGCATATATTTAGTTTAATTTGCAATTTTGATGCAGAAGTAAATGCATTTTTATATTGTTCTTATTTTTTTTGTGTTGTTCTTAATTTTTGTGGAGAATAACCGTACTCCATTATTAGTACATGTACTGTACCACAAAAAAAAACAAGACTTTGTTCAGGCCAAAAAAAAACGTTTTTTTTTCAAAAAACATTATTCGGAATCGTCATTTGGATAATTGATATATCAAAACTATCAGTTGAACAGAGTTAAAACCCTGAAAACGCAAAAAGCAATTTTTCAATCAAATAATACTTCGTTAGCTTTTGTAAATCCTGCGCGAGGACTAGGTAAAAATTGACCCCTGCTGTTGGAAAGGTACTAGTGCCTCTCAACTTGGGAACCGTACCGTACCAGTACATGTACTGGTACCAAAAGTACTATTACCAGTACTATGCCAACTCTATCCAGTATGCTTATTTTTTTATCGGCGACTGTAGAGTTCTCCTCATCATGCCACACCCAACAAACGGCTCAAATTTGCAAACAAAATATCATGTTTTGATTTTTTTCTTATCTGCTTAAACTTTTTGGTGTTGTTTATACAGCAATTCTGGTTCAGTTTTAGGACGTGTTTACAGCAGAAAAAATTAATGAAAACTGACCGGTTCAAACATTTGCCATCCAAAATTTTAATTGTCTCGTCCCACCATAAAAAAGACAACGCGAAAATCATTTGTTTCCTTTTTGAACAAACTTCTTAATTATATATTTTTTTGATTTTACGGCTCCTCCATGATGAAGCGTATGGCATTGCAATCGAAATTGATTTTAGCACCACCCTGTCTGAGCAAGAAAAAAGGCACTAATTAGAAAAAAGCATTTGCTGGCTTGAATTGGACTGCTTTTTATATTCCAACCGTGGTCAGACATGTCAGACGGAGACATTTCAAACGGAAACATTTTAGACAGAATTATATTGACACTTTCCAGTCAAAATACGCCAGACATTTCAGCGAAATTCAAAATGAGACATTTCAGCCAAATTTTAGATTAAGACATCTGAAACCATCTAAATTAGCGACAAACAATGGTTCTCGTGCGCTATTGCTCTTCGCTACTTGCCAATGCCATTTGTAATCTATAAGTTTTGAATTATTCCTGCGGCTGTGACAGATTTCGTCCCATGACAGATCTCGTCCCATTTTATTTTCAACAGATTTCGTTCCATTTCAAAGCGTACACAGATTTCGTCCCACAAATTTGGATATGGGATGTTAGGATGTTGCGTATGGGACGGAATCTGTATGGGAGAAAATCTGTTAATTAAATAAATAGGATGAAATCTGTGGTAGGACGAAATCTGTGCCAGTCGTTCCTGCTACGGTGGTTTGGCTGAAATGTCTCCGGCTGAATTTTCTCGTTTATTTTTTGCCGAAGTGTCTCAATTTCAAATTGGCCTAAATGTTTTTGTCCGAAATGTCGCGGCACCCTTCTAACACAGCTGCAGTGAAATTAGAAAAAATATTAACCGCTTCATATATCAGGGCAAAACCTTGAATGTCCCGACTGCCCTTTAAATGATCTGGAATACTTTCTGCCAAAAAAATAGTTGCCTGTAAATTTTGAACATTATTTATTTTTCCACCAGGCGCCAATGTTTTTTTATATAAAAGTGTCTCAATTTCAAATTGGCCTAAATATTGTTGTCCGAAATGTCGCGGCACCCTTCTAACACAGCTGCAGTGAAATTAGAAAAAATATTAGCCGCTTCATATATCAGGGCAAAACCTTGGATGTCCCGACTGCCCTTTAAATGATCAGGAATAATTTCTGCCAAAAAATAGTTGCCTGTAAAATTTGAACATTTATTTTTCCAACAGGCGCCCTTGTTTTTTTTATAAGTACAAGAAATTTGAGTCGCATAGGAAATTATTTTGACCAATTAGCTTGTCTCAAATCAAATTGGATTGATTTTGTGTGCGAGATAAATTGGCTAAGTTTTAAGCTTGCAGTGACGATAAAGATATAATTTCTATGTATTCATTTCTTTATATAATTTGTAATGTTTGCTGTTTATTTCATCGTGTGTACAAAAATTGCTTCTGTTCACTTCAAATGTTTTCATTTTTGCGAAATTGTATCGAGAAATGAGTATTTTATAATATAAAAAAGTAATTTTTTGAGAAAAGTTTTGGCTCCAAATGATCATTACTTAGTTTTTAACATTGGAGGGGTTTTCACTTCATCTGAAGTTGCCAATTTTCGATTTTAATTGTTAGCTTTTTTTCATAGTGGATTTCCATGTAATAGTTTTCGGTAAAGATAATTCGTTTGAAGTTTGATATTGGTATTCAATAAACACATTGAGTAATTTCTAGTTTTAATGCTCAGCGAGTCAACTTCAAATGACTGGGCTTAGAAGTAATTCAAGTACAACAGTGCCGAAAAATAACGCTGTTTAACAGTGCCGAAAATTTTCATTTTTCGGCACTGTTAAACAATTTTTCAACTTCGTTCAAGTACAACAGTGCCGAAAAACAATGCTATTCAACAGTGTGGAAAGTCTTCTTTTTTTGGCACTGTTGAACATTTTTGCTTCTCCCAACTAAAAACAATTTTTGCAATTAATTCGGTGTTCATTCACTTCGGTAAAGCAATTTTTCAAACAAGGTCAAATGCGCGCTACAATGCAAGTAGCGACTGCTTGTTCCCCAACGCTTACATTTGACAAGCATTTGTGCATAATAGCATACAATAGTTGCCTTAACTAGGTGTTCATTCAGACAAAAACAATTCAACTTGATTTTTCTAAATTGCTCACTCAAAATCACTTGAATTTGAAAGACAATTGAGTAAAAAAACATTTAAAAAGCGAACCATTCAACGCCAGCCTTTTACATGTGCACGCTAACTAAAACAAACTGGAATAGGACGGCTTTCATTTTATACGAGAGTTATTGTATGTGTGAATTAGCTTTTGCAGCAAAACTAAATTTTTCTGCTGAGCAAATGAAAATGTAGCTTAAACAACGAGATTGGTTTCTCTCCAGAGCAACCTCGAGTTTCAATTAGCCATTTATCGCGGATTTTTTTTCTGTAATCTAAAAGGTACTGATAGTTAACGCGCAACTTACTTCGTTCCATTTAAGCGTAAGCAGCGGAAAACATCGTTCCAAATTGAATTGATGCTAGCAATTTGCTCTTATTAATTCGTTTTTAGACTCAAAATTATGTCACTTTGTACTTCACATAGAGTGAGTGAGGGTGATTAAAACAAACAAGAAAAGAAAGAAACAAAACTTTTGATTTTTTTCAGATAATTTTTATCAGTTTTTGAGAAGAAATATTGTTCCGTGACTTTAAACGGCAGTCGGAACGTTCAAAGCCTCGCGCTGATACTAGCAGTCTTGTTAATCCGTTTTTCGAAAGAAACGATTGAACTTTGAACTTTTCATAGAGTGAGGGATGATTTTCAAAAAAAAATGAAAAATTGTGATTTTTTTTGAAAACGTCTTCCATTTTTTAAAGCGAATAATGCAGTCAGAAAATTCAGGGCTTTTATCTGGTACGAATTGTCTTATTATCTTTTGATCCTGTAAATGATCGAAACTGAGGTGCTAATTAATGTTAGATACTTAGTTCTGGTGGCGCAATCGAGTGTTCGAACGTTCGTTAGAGAAAAACCTTCGAAGGCTCTCGCGAATATTTGACCTGCGTCTTTTTGAGTTGTTTACACTAAATATCAAAGACTCACTATTTTGGCGAGGAAAATTTTCTATGTACCGTTCTTGAGCACCCCGTCTGATCGTGTTTTTAGCACTGCTGGAAACTTTCTTACCAAAAAAGAGTAACCCTTACTGGAGATCGTATGAACATGCAAATTGTTTTGCATGGAAATTGGAAAAATTTCATTTAAATACTGGTCTTCATTTTTTTCAACAAAAGTCAAAAATTTTACTTAAATACCGAATGCTCGCATGTTCTACGATTGTTCGAAAGTTTTTGGCGAACATTCGAAGGCTACTTTCTAACGAATGTAGCAAGCGCCACTACACAGCTTCGGCGTAGTCTGTGAACCTTGAATTGGAAAAATTCTGAGTTGAAAAAAAAATTTCTAGCGTTCCAAAAAGATTTCTCGTCTCAATAAGATTTTTTGTTTAAGCCTAATAATTGCACTCTTCGTTCCTATCAGCCCGGTATTGTAATCCGGTTTGAAATTATACAAAGATTCAGATATGAATTTGCTCTAAGTGAACCAAGTTATTGTTATCATACTTTGACTTTTATTAAAAACGCTGATATTAACATACCAGCCTTGCTTTTATATCATTTTTCTGGAAAAAAAATCGAACTGGTAAAAAGTCGTTCCTCTATTTCCAATTTTTAAAAAATCATTTGTCAGATCTCATTGTTTCGCCCGAATGGCGCACACACGCGTTATCGGATAACGTGTCTTAGAATGACCGTTCCACTTGTTTAATTTCAAGCAAAAATCTATTGTTTTTGTTCATAACAATTTGCTTGCTTTTTCCTTTAAGGTCAGTGAAACTACAATCAAATCAACAAGGTTTTTAATTTTGTATTTTTCTTTAAATTTTCCGGATGCTGTTTTGCCTCTCTCTGAAAATCTGTACGTTGAATTCCATTTTTAAAATATATACATATGCCATCCGACATTAGCCTGAAATTGTTTGTGCAGCTAAATCTATTTCGGAAACTGTTTGTTTAAAAATAGATGTGATTTGCGACTGAAAGGAAGAAAAAATGTTTCCCTGACTTTTGGAAACTTTACAGTGGAAAACAATTTTTTCAGATAACAATTTCATGTTATTGCCTGATAAACATTTTTTATATAAAACCCATGAAAGTAATTATGTTATGAACGTTTATCTTGAAAAGAAACTGTATAATAAGCTATTTTTACAGGTTGATGAATGTATTTAAGACTTTTATATTACGTCGTGATGAATTTTTTGGTTTTCTTCTAGGAAAAGTCTTACGGTTTCTTCACGCTCAGTTTTGATTTTTCGCGGTTTCTTTTTCGACTTTTGAAGTTTGAAGATAATTTGAAGTTTTTCGTTACATTGACTGGCCTTCACCGATAACTTTGAAAAAAAATTACTAAAAATAACGAGTGAGCGACGCTAAATCATAAAATTTATTAGAAAAATTGACATTTTTCCTAGGTGTTCGGGGAGGGCTTGACAGTGAACATGATTGATTTAACAATAGTCAAAGGAGCGAATAGCGTTATACAGAAAGAGCGATACGCATTGTGTCTATTACCATTCGATATTTGCTTGAATTAGGTGTTCGTTTGGACGGAAAACGACTTAGCTTAAACTTATGAAAGGAATATGAAATATGAAAATCATTTCTTTTGTTAAAGGAATGATGAAGTTTCACTTTCACTTCATTAACTTACTTCCGAATGACCTATAGTGCTGATTTCAATTATCCGGACAAAACGAACCAAACTTGAAATTTAAAACGCATTTTCCTCGAATTGGATTAATTTGAGACAAAAATTGGCTGAGGAAAAACATGCTTATAATTTCAACAGAACTAATATTGTACAATTCGTTTTGCGAAATTCGGGGCCATAGTTTACTTTCAAAACAACCAATTTTGAATTTTTAGCGAATCAAAAATTACGCCAAAACTATTTGATTAATTGCTGAAAAAAAACATATCAAAGTGAAAATTTTATATAGCCAACAAAAGTTAAGACGGGTATAATCGCGTCAGTTTTGAATGATTAATTTTATTTTTGTTTTTTTTTTTCGGCCAAAAAATGTCAATTTTATTATGTAAAGTAACAATTTATTTAAAAACTAATTTTAGATGTTTTGCGCCATATTTTGGAGGTTTTACTTTTCTTAGATTTTGTTGGGCTATATAAGAGATTCAGTTCGACATATTTTTGTCAGCAATTGAAACAATAGTTTTGGCGTAATTTTTGATTGACTAAAAAATTGGCCATGTTTGGGGTAAGTTTTTGACCCAAATCGGGCAAAAATGTTAGACCATTTTCAATCTGCTGAAATTTTAAGCAAGTTTTTTCTTGATCGTTTTTCACCCAAATTCCACCAAATTTGAGAAAAACGCGTTTTGAGTTTCAATTGGCATTCGTCTTGTCCGGATATTTTAAATCAACACCGTATTGCAGAAAAAAATTTTGCAAGCAAAAGTTAAAATTAAGACGGAAAAAATGTCTCAATTTTGCCTTAAAATTGCCTTAAAGTCAGCTTTGCTTGCAACGCTAGCTCAGATTGCCAGGTTGAATTTTCTAAATTGAATCTGTATTCTGCATTCTGAATCTTCTGAGGTCAAAAGAATTTTGCGATTCAGGTCTTTTTCATGTTTTTTTTCCATAGAATTTTTTATAGGAGTTGCAAAAAGTTGGAATGGACACAAAAATTAACAAGACTGCTCGTATCAGGGCGAAGCCCTGATTGTTTCGACTGCTTTTTAAGGTTTATGGAGCAGTAATAACATAAATATCATTAACACATTAGACGTAAAAAATTGAAAAAAAAATTTTTTTTTCTAAAATTTGAAATTTTGTCCATGAAAATCATCCCCCCACAAACCATATAAACTACAAAAGAATAAATTTCGCTCCTTGTAACAAATAAATTATAGCAAATAAGCTTCTTTCAACCAATTTGGAACGTATTCTAAGACGGATTAAAACTCCGCTTACGCGTTAATAGCACGAAATATATCGCGCGTTAATTGTCCCAAATTAGCCAAAATGGTAATCTTGAAACCCTCATAACTTTACGAAAATTGATCACAGGTGAAATATTGTTTCAAATTTAAGCTCAGGACAACAATACCTTTTGAATGATATAAAAAAATTCCGTCAAGAATGGCTAGTTAAAAATTCGAAATTTGTCTGAAGAAAAAAAAACCCACCCCGAGCACAAATATTCCGTTACTTTCGTATCGAAAGTCGGAACAAAAAGAGCAATCTACCAATTTTGAGCAGTTTTTCTATGCAACTTTGAATTTTAAGGTGACCTTGAGAAATAATTATGTCTGCAAATAAACTTTAGCGTGCAAAAAACAGTTCAATTGCTCTTTTTAATTTATTTTTCTGTTCTCATTGTTTTGCAATTCTCATTACACAAATTTTTTTTAGAGAATTGCAAAAAGTTGGAAATTTATTGTAAAGTTTCAAAATCAGCGTACAAGTTAAAGTTTTTGAGCGTTTATTTTAAAGATTTTGTTGGCGAACCTTTGGCACACTGGTCCAAGATTAGAAAGCTTGTAAGAGCCTGGATTTTAAGCAATCACTGCTACTTTTAACCCATTCTGCGTTCGGACCAATCTTTTACGCGGCCCCCATTTTTGCAATGATCACCTGGGCATCGTCATTGATTTAATTTCTGCATTAAAATACCTTTTCACCCTATGGCATTTCATGAAAAATTAAGCTGTTTAGCAAGGGTAGTTCGCACCATTTAAGCATTTCACTTAAAAACCGAAATTTGGCAACGATTAGTTCCTGTATTTAAAAATATCTAAGGCTTTAAACTTGCTGCAATTTTCTACACTTGTGTTCAGTGTGCATTGAAAAAATGGAGAGACGAACAGTTGTCATCACGGTTGATGGGTCGCCCCACTCCCAACGAGCATTCGAATGGTAAGTTCATTGTTATAATGATTTTTATAAACCGATTATAAATTCGATAATATGTTCGATACGACAAAAATCATGGATAGTTGCAACCAGGAGCTGATTTAGGGGAGAACGAGCGGTGGATGCCTCCTTTTCAGGGATTCGAGCCCCTCACCAACCAAAGGGTCCCCTCCCCTTTGGTATTATTTAGTGACATCTTTTTTCGGCTGAACAACCTTGAAGTTTTCTAAAAGCGCCTTTGGCTCCAATATATATTAATTTGAAGGGAACTGCGCGACATTTTTGAACCGATTTTTCAAAATTACCTGCGGCGCAAAAGTTTTTGTCGATACAGCGTTTTTATACTGTTCTGGGAGTGCTTGGAAAATCAATTCGGTCGACTTAAAAAAGAGGCCGACAAAGTTTTCGAAAACTTTTTGAAATACCGCCCCCCCCCCCCCTCGAAAAACTCCTAGATCCGTCCCTGATTGCAGGTATGTGAAACACCTGATGAGACCTGGAGTGGACGTGGTGTATCTGATCCACATAGCAGAACAGGTGTCTCTGCCTATGATGAGTGCCGATGCCCCTCTGTCCTTTCCCAAGGACGCCTGGGTGGAAAAATTGACCGCGTGAGTAGAGGTTTTTAGACTCTAAAATTGTTGCAGCTATAAGTTAAATAAAAAGTATTGCAAGTTATTGAAATGACCGTTCGGAGCATTGCGATGTTATGACAAAACTAGAGTTGTTTCAATAACTACAGTTTTAAAACGAATTATTTTCAGAAAGTTAAAATGCATGACTAATTGGAAAAAGTCTTGCAAAAATTCAGAAACTTAAACTTCAAGGTGAATAAAGAGTCGTGTGATTTTATAAACTTATGAAACTCATTGGGTTTTAGTTTTCCCTTTTCGTTTTTTTTTCGTTTTTGAATTTAGCATATTTTTCGGTTATCAAATAAATTTTTAAGCCTGTGCAAATTTGAGGGTCAGAAAATACAGAAGTTCTGGTGGCCCAAAAAGACCTTTGTTGTAAAAAAGTGTCGAATGTCTTTGGGGGGATTCTGTCTTGAAGATATCAGAAATTTGATTGAAAAAACGAAGGATCTTCGTAACAATCCCCACCCTCCTGTAGTACCTACTGGAAAATTTCTCCCCTATAAATAAGTACAGTAAAAAGCACTAGAGAAATCTATTGAGAATTCTAAATTTGCTGCATTCTGATTGGTCTGGTCGAAAAATCGACTAACTATATCTATTTAACAATCTCCCCCAAATTATCCAAATAATCACTATAAAAAACACAGATAAAACACCATAAATACAAATACCAAATACAGATCCAAATTATCACTATAAATATGGATCTCCTTTGTATTTTTCTTTTAGAAAAATTTGAAAAAATTAAAATCAGAAGTGTTCTTCTTTCTAGACGCACCAAGATGATTGAGGAAATAAGAGACCACTATGAGGCCAAACTGCAAGAGTACAAACTGCACCAATCGGGCAAGGGGGGGTTCATCTCGGAGAACGCAAACTCTGCATTCCCCGGTCCCCAACTAGTCGAGTTCATCCAGAACAAAAAGGCAGAGATTGTTGTCATGGGGAACAGAGGTCTCGGAAAACTGAAGCGAACATTCCTCGGAAGTGTCTCGGATTATGTGTTGCATAACAGTGGAGTCGCAGTCATGATTGTACCCCCGACAGCCGAGTGAATATTTAGCCGAATGAACATTTAGCCGAACCAGTGGCGTGTTTTTTCGCAGATTCATGATAAATTTCTCAGCTAGCAGTTTAATTTGGACTTTAAGTTAATTCATTTTTCGAATCTTTTCGATTTTTCATGCAAAAAACGTTGGTTTATGTAGAGTACTAATAATCGTTAAAAATTGGATCTTAAAATATCGATCATGTCATTTTCAAATCAGGCCTAATGGTCAAATACTTGCACTTCAGCACGCCACTGAGCCGAATGTACATTTGGCCGATTAAATATTCAGCCGATTTGTTCAATGAAGACCAAAAACGAGAGACAAGTACTAAATACATACTATTGAGATAAACAGTTCTTTCAATCGAGATAAATTTTGACCTAATTTTGTTCAGTATTCATCATTGACCTGTACTATGATTCCTTGCACTTGTAAATTCCAAAAATGTACCTTCTTTGTTTCGACCGATACTGATTTGTACACGGGTACTAAAGATACTCCCAATAAATTATTGATTAGCACCACCCTTGTCTCAATTCCTATCCACTTAAACAATCATTGTAGAGACAGGTACGAACGCAACATCTCCCCTTTCAATTCCGCAAATAATCAGTTTTTGGTACGAATTTTCCTCTGGTTGAATTTGGATGCACCTAATTTTGGCGGACTATTTCAAAACTCCTGTTTCATAAAAACAGGTATTATGAAAATGTATGCGATCGGGTCTTTTTATTTTTTTTGAGACGCCTTGAAAAATTTTCTTTTTTTTTCAAAAATTAAATTTTCTCAAAAAAAGTACCAATGGGAAATCCCCCCACTCCCCTGTGTGCTTGCATAATCTTCTAATCTCTTTTTAACTTACCCCAATTTCTACAGCCTTAGAAAAAGTATGGGTGCATTTTTTTACTTAAATATTTGGGTTTTCTTACGTTTTGTGTCTGAGATTTTGGGTTCAAGAGATAGAACAAGTTGGAATAGGAAACTACGTTGCGTAAGCGGTTGCGCCTAATTTTTACACAAAAAGTTATGACCTACGGAAAGACAAATTTACGAATTTTTTTAAACTTATCAATTTGTCTCGAAAACTACCTTCCCAAATGTTAAGTTTTCGTTTCAATCGAAAGGACGTGTTGTGGGCAGCTCCCCTGTAGAAGCGGTTACGCCCTAAAATTTTTAAATAGAAAATTATGGCACTCAGAAATGTCAAGTTTTCGATTTTTTGACCGATTTTTTTGTGGTTTTTATACTTTCTCAAAAACTACCCACCCAAATCTGAAAATTTAGTACCCTCCGTTTTAATCGAAAAGACGTGTTGCGAGAAGTTCTCCTGCTGAAGCGATTACGCCCAGAATTTTGCACAAAAAACCTAACCCTCGGAAAAGTCAAAGTTTTAATTTTTTGACCGTTTTTTGGAACGAAAACTACCTCCCCCCCCCCCAAATCTGAGATTGTGCTTTCAATGTAAAACACGAGATGCGGGGAGCTTCACAGTTCTAGCGGCTCAGTCCATTTTTTATTAGAAAATTGATGGCCCTCGGAAAAGTCATGCTCGTGACTTTTCGACCGTTTTTTTTCAAACTCTTTGACTGTTCTCGGAAACTACCCTCCAATGTCAGAGATTTTGGTTTCAATGAGTAGATTGGGTTGTGGGAAGCTCTCCGGCATGAGCGGCTATGCTCAAGTTTTTACAGCAAAAAAACTTAGGCCTGTGGAAAAGTCAAATTTTGTTTTTTGACAGTTTTCTTTCTTCAATTTTTTAATTTGTCTCGAAAATTTCGAAATTACCTAGTTCATCCCACATCAGTACAAAAAATTCAAAAATTATCAACCTCTATTTTTTGGAGCTGTGTTAAGAAGCAAAATCACTTTTTTGAGAGCTGACATTCGTGTATCTATCCCAATTGATAAAACTGGAAAAAGAAAGTGCTTGAAACTGGCCACGATAATTTTACAGAATCTCTGCCAGTAATGCAGTATCCAATTTCTGCAGTAATGCAGTATTTTCAAGAAAACAGGAAATAAATTGTCCTGAAAAGTGCAAAATCAAACCTACATTTTGCTCACTTTTGTTCTAAAGTGGTCTACGCTACAACCAAATTTAGGGAGTGCTATTAGTAATCCGAGGTAAGTAGCAGTAATTTACTGGATGATTAATTAGTAAACGAAACACCGAAACTACTTCAGTTCCCGGGCCGAGGTCCACGTCTCATGTTGCGACTGAGTGGCCGATTTTTTTTTGCTTGCATAAGCATAATACAGATGCAGATTGCAAAAAAAATCCAGTATATGTCGAGAAGCCCACGCCGATATATATAAACCGCCACGAGAAGACTTACACATGGTCTCAAGAAAAATTATGAGCTACTTTTTTGGGGCAACAGCAAATTCGTTACAACAAAAGTTGAAAGCTAAAAACCATTCAAATCAAGCATTCAACCGTCGTCATTTTATCACAAAATAATGGCAAACACAGTTGACTCTTTGACTCTTACCGGGAAGACCAATTGGAAATGACAAAAGTTACTTCAGTTTTTCTTCGGATCTTGGCAGGTGCGAATCTAGGTCGACTAAAGTAATTTTCCGAGCTCTCCCAAAACAATCAAAAGATCCTCTTATAGTCAAATTTTCTGCGGCGCAATCAAAATTTTGAAAGAACGGGCCAAAAAAGGCATTTTTAGTCATTTTTGGAAAATTATGACCCTCAAAATTAGTATATATTGGCGCCGAAGGCGCCTTTAGAAAATATTTAGATTCCATCGCCAAATATGGATATCTCAAAGTAGTACAGAGGAGAGACCCTTTGGGTTGGCAGGGGTTCGAATCCCTGAGGGAGGAAAGCATTCACCACAGACCCCCCCTTAAATCCGCCCCTGGATCTTGTTGATATGTCACTATCATTCAATAATCTCAGGTATAGATTGAATCCAATCCGTCTAACCATTAAAACGATCTTATCTTTTTCATCAGGCATCATTCTGTACTGTTCGAAACGAACAAGAACAATCACCAATTCTTTGACAATTTTTTTCCTTGGTTGCATTCATTGCTCTCCTTGGTCATTGGGTCCCCTGACATTGACGATGTATGTACCTTTTTATACACGCGCGTGGGCTCATACTTCGCCTGATTTGCTTACTCTCAAGCTTTTCAGATAATCAGTAACGAGTTTAAAGGGGAAGACACCCCTTACCCCTTAGAGCAATCGACCCCTGCCGACCCAATTGAGAGCAACTACGCGACAAAAAAAAAAACGCGTTTTTTGTCAACAATTTCTGAGAAGTGCATCCAAAAGATTTTAAATTTTCCTCATACCTATTTTTCAAATAATATTTACACTACCAAGTCTTGATTACCCCGATCGCTGAAACTGAAACTGTGGAGGAACTTCGTCTTCGGGTCTGTTTAAGTACCGTCTCTACCTTATTTTTATAATAGTAACTAAAACAATTTGTATGACGCCGTCAGTCGTTTGTTCATTTTTACCACTACAAAAAAAATCTATCGAAGTTAATTTTTTGTCATACAATGTTCTCTAGAAATGGTTTTTATAAGATGTTTCTGTTCTTTTATCATAGGGAACGACAACTTTTTTTGCTAATTTATTTCACAGTTCATAAAAAAAGTTACGTTCATAGCAAAAATCGATTTATGTTTAAGAATTTTAGTAAATTTCTACTATTGTCATCAAATTAAGAAATTATATAGTTCAGGAGTATTTTATTGGGGCCCAGATTTCAAGACGGGAAAGGGTCCTTTGTAGGGGGTAGTCTCATTGTGGAATAAAATTTACTGAAAAAATTTAAATGTGAACGAAAGATCTCAGCAAAATTTGACTACGCTGATCTTTTCTCCCGCCGCTTATTATGATTGAAACTATTTAAACTTAGTGAAAATTGAGCTTTATTTGTCTTTGAATTTTATAGAAATTAGTTTTTTCCAAAATGTTTTTTAATTGTAACATTTTTAAAATGAAATATCAAAAAGAAGAGGAATAAGTATGTACCTCGAATTCTTTGTTTCGTACGCGCAGTCTTTCTTCTGAAGCTTCCAATAAAACGAAAAGAAAATTTATAGTTTACTTTTTTGGAATCTGCCAACCCAAAATTTTTATTCTCGTAGCTCTTAGTTTGCTTAGATTGGCTGGAAAAATCTCCAATGCAGCATTAAATTTCGACCGAGTTTTAATCAGTGCTATCTTTTGTCCCCTTGGTGACTATGGGAAAATCCTTTGAGAAGGCTTTTTTTCCAATAGCTGTTTAGCTTAATGGAAATTTAAAACTTTCGTAGAAAAGGAGAAAGTGTTTTGCTTCGAAAAAAGCTTACTGTCAATTTTTTTTGCCTAACTGTCCTGTGATTTTGATCTTTCTAAATGAGCCGAAGTTTTTATACTCTCAATGTGTTCCTGGTGAACATTTGGTATCTCATTTGGTATCTTCTGTGCAGTCTGTTTTGTGATTTTGGCATTTATTTTGAGATTATTACAAAAAAACAATTGTCATTAAATTTTTCGAGCCAAAGAAAGCTCAAACGTTTCAGTTTTCGAATATTGTGGTGTTTCCCAAAATGAAACAAAACAAAAATTGGTAATTTTTCATCAAAGACCAAGGTAGTAAGAATGAAAAATAACATCGGATTGATGTTGTATAAAAGAGCAAGTATACAAGTGTTCAGCTGTTTTCACACAATTCATTAACATAGACAATTTTGCATATAGCTACCGAAATCAAAAATATGCCAATAGCTAATAGTCAAAATTGGGAAATCGTTGCGGTGATGGTGGTGGTGTTGATGGTAATTTTTCTGTAAAGGTCGCAGGAAAATTTGCGAAAGGGGAATTTTTAGGGACTTTACTCTAAAGTAAAAAAGACCTAAAGCTAATTTTTGATGAAAAATCCTCAAATCAGTTTCCCACCAGTCTCATTACTAAAACTTGCAAATGCAAATTGCCTGAGTTTTCTGGCAAAGAAAGTGGTCTTCATCGTAATTCGAGAAGTTAGACGTCGCTTTTTATTTCGATAACTCGAATTATACGTCGTCATATTTATTGCAGCCTGAAAAAAAAGCAGTAAGAGTGCTAGCAGCCTGATCAGCTAGCAGTCCAAAAAACGGTAAGGGTGGTCAATTCAAAAGAAAATTCTAGAAGCAAAGACATCGAAACACTATGAGCGTCACGGAGATGTTATAGAAGCTTGTGCTGCAGGGCTCAGACTATCTTCGAAGTACTTTATGCCATAAGTGTTCTTTCCATTCCTCAAGTTCGATCATCAACAGCAAAGAAAACTTTGACCCATCTCTCAGCAGCAACAAAAACCTATTTTCAGGTGAGAATTGAAACTTCTCGACAGTTTCAAAGGCATCTTTTGCCGTCGACAGCTTCAAATCCCGGCATTGTTGAACTTGAACTCCAAAATCAGTTTGAACCCTAATTTAGAAAAAGAAAATGAAACATGCTTAGTTTAAGGAGAGGTGTTACCATCAAACACAAAAATTACTTTTTTAAAATCAAAAGGGAAAATGATAATCA